ATATAGAAACAGAAAAGGATACTTCTCCTTAAATGTTCAGGTATTTTTGTTAAAATAAAGTTCTATTAAATATATATATGTTGAAAAGAAAAAAGGCAATTATGTTTTATTTAAATTAATTTTTTATTGATATTATGTTTTATTTATGTTATACTTATATACAAATCTTCTATTACATTTAAATATATTTTAATACACACATATAAATTTATTTTATTAATGTGTATTCTTATTTATTATTATATATTTTTTTATTCATGTTTATTTTTATTTACGTTTATATTTGTAGGCTGTTGTTGGTCCTCGTACAGAATTTTTAGATATAGTTCCCGAATGGCCAGGAAGAGAACATGATAGCCGAATCTTCCAAAATTCAAGGATATATATGCGATATAGACAACAAGCACTAGACGGAATGCTCGTTGGAGATGGTGGATATCCGGCTTTACCGTTTTTACTTACACCAATTGCTAATCCTATAACCGATGAAGAAATACGGTTTGACATTTTATAACTATAATTATATACTATAAAATTTGAAATAAATTGTTTTTATAACATGAAAAAGGAATCAAAGATTGAAGTTTTCAAAACAGTTTTTCATAGTGTGTACATATTTTTGTCATAATTAACAATAACATTCTGTTTAAATTATTCATTTATAACATTAAATTTTAAATTTTCTTATCTTATTATAATTACATATAATATCATTATAATTAAATATTGATAATAATTACTAAAATAATATTACGTGATTCTCATTAATGATAATTAAAAAAAATTTATTACAGTTATAATATAATTCATGGTAGAACAAGAAGAATCGTCGAGAGAACTTTTGGCATATGGAAAATCAGATTCCCTTGTTTGTCTAGAGGACTAAGTACGAAATTATTAACATCAACAACAATTGTTGTGGCATGTGCCGTACTTCATAATCTATCATTAATCTTAAATGATAATTTAGAAGAAGAAGAAATAGAAGATGGAAATATTAATGAGGAAGTTCCAGTAGCTGAGCTTCAATGGCAAGCTGGTGATGGTTTTATTGTGCGAAATGCATTAATTGAGAGGCTGTTTAGATAAAAGGAAAAAGATTGTTCCAATTGCAATAGAATTAAGATATTGTTATAGTTTGCTATTTTTATATATAAATTAATTCACTACAATTCAATTATGTACAGAGTGTAAAATAAAAATTGGATTCTTTTTAAATTTATAATGGATTTTTATTTTAAATATAAGGTACGCAATGTAAGATTGAAAGTATATTCATTTATTAAATAATTTGATACATTCGTGAAATCATTTGAAAAAATTAAAATAAAAACATTGTTACAACAAAGGTATTACAAACGGAACGAATTATATTTAACACAATTTTCACATGAAAATATGAAATATACCAAAATGAGGACAAATAATATCTGGAGACACAATAGTCTCTCAGTGCTAAGCTAAGTTATCTTACTATACCTAATAACTTAAAACTTCAAATAAAAATTGCATCTTTATAAACTAGATAAACAAATTTTCATTGTTTTAAACAAAACTAAACTAATATATTTGTATATATAACACATGTGTGTTTTAATAATTTGAATCGTAGTAACAGTAAATATTAAATGCAAAACT